TTACTTGTTATCTATACTAATTATATAAAGAGAAGTCCCTTTTTTTCGTAACAGGTAATCTCGCGAACGGCTGGTCCGATTTTCATGAAATTTTGTATACAAATAGCTTTCGGTAACCACCATTTAGGCTAAAAAAAAATTTACTTTTTTTTTGGGTAGGTGGACCAGGGACCGGTCTATTCGAAAAAATCTTATTATAGTCCGATTTGCTTAAAATTTAGTACGTAAGTAGCTTTTTAGCATGTATGACCCATTTTTTCTGGGATGTGGTCCAGGGACCGATCTATTCGAAAAAATCGAATTTACGGTCCGATTTGCTTAAAATTCGGTGCGAAGGTAGCTTTTTAGCATGTATTAGCATATGTGATAAATTTTTTCCGAGAAGTGGACCAGGGACCGATCTATTCCAAAAAACCGTATTTATGGTCCGATTTGCTTAAAATTCGGTACGTAGGTAGCTTTTTAGCATATATGATCCATTTTGTCCGAGAAGTGGACCAGGGACCGATCTGTTCGAATAAATCGCATGTATTGGAATATATGGTCAATTTTTTCCGAGAAGTGGACCAGGGACTGATCTATTCGAAAAAATCGTATTTACGGTCCGATTTGCTTAAAATTCGGTATGTAGGTAGCTTTTTAGCATATATGATCCATTTTGTCCGAGAAGTGGACCAGGGACCGATCTGTTCGAATAAATCGTATTTATCGTCCGATTCGCTTAAAATTCGGTACGCAGGTAGCTTTTTGCCTGGATAAGCTTATAGATTCCTGTTTTCCAATTTTCATGCAATTTCGAATATAAACAGCTTTAAGTAACGACCATATCAAGGGGCGAATTCGTCACTAGGCAAGATTTTTTTGCGCCAATCAGAAACAACGGATACTGTCAAAATATAATTATAATATATAATATATCTCAACTAACATATATTTAGAAAGCCGTTTGTTAGTTTTCGCAAGGCTCGAGAGCGGCTGAACCGATTTTTTTGAAACTGCCACCTGCCGCACGTGTCCCAAGGATGGTTTTAGGCTGAAAAAAATCTATATGTAAAGGGGGCGTGGCACTTCCCATACAAACCGAATTTCTTATGCTACATATCTCTGAAAGTGTGCATGGTAGAGTTTTGGAAATTGGTATGGAGATATACGAAATCAATCGCATACCCTTGGAGAAAAATTTTAGCTATTGTAAAAAGGGGTCTGGCATCTCCCACACAAACCGAATTTTTCATACTGCTTATCTCTGGAAATTTTTTGGTTGAGTTCTAGAGTTTTGTATGGAGATGTACGGAATAAATCGCATACTCTTGGAGAGAAACAGGAACTATTGGAAAAGGGGGCGTGGCATCTTCCATACAAACCGAATTTTTCATACTGCCTATCTTTGGAAGTATTCATGGTAGAGTTCTGGAACTTGGTATGGAGATATACGAAATCAATCGCATACTCATGAAGAACGAGGGCAGCTGTTGGAAAGGGGGGCGTGGAACCTCCCATATAAATCGAATTTTTATACTGCATATCTCTGAAAGTATTCATGGTATAGTACCGGAACTTCGTATGGAGATATGTATATAGTTGAAATCAAGCTCATACTCATGGAGAAAATTTGGGCTATTTGAAAAGGGGTGTCAGGCCTACAAACGTACCGACCTTTAGCTATCTTTGAATGAATTTTTTTATTCTTCTGTAGGTGTGTTTGTGAGTGAAGTCCTCCTAAATGGTTGTACGGATTTTAACGAAACTTTTTGTGTATTTGAGTGGGTCTCTGGATGGTTTAGTTCACAATTTAATCCGACAGTTGGCGCTGTAGTTGAGTTATTACTAAAAATCTTATTTATGATCCGATTTGGCTAATGTTTTAAATATGTATGCAATACTATTGCAAAAACGTGCTGCCAAGTGGTGCTGCAGTCGAACTATTACTAAAAATAGCCAAGTGAGAAAAGGGGCCGTGAAGGCCAGATTAAATCGATCTGTTGCACCATTGAGTATATCGAACGCTCCTGCGTTACAATTGGCCCAATGGATGTGATTTTCCAATATTATTATGCGTTCAAACTTTTAAGGTATTTCGTCAGAAATACGTATATGTATATTGCATTTCTGTAGAACAATGATTCCCACCCAGTTTAAAATTGCCACCTACTATACTGTAAAGCTTCTAGGACATTCACTATAGAACCGGGTCATTGTTGCCGCCAGGGAGTAAAGAGGAAAAAATTTATTTCGCTTTGCGAATAACCGTGCTATGAAATGCCGCACAACTNACCACCAAACCTTAATCTTAGCAGACAAATGTGCCAATGAAAATCGTAAACGTGAATTGTTGGTGAAAAAGTAGGACCAAAAAGTTTCAATAAAATATATAAAAATCTTGGGCGGGACGAAGTTCGCCGGGTCTGCTAGTACATGTATATTTTTTGAGACAGCTTTTACAATTAATTTTTAGATATATTTACTTGTGTCAAAAATTTAAATTGAATGTCTTAGATTATTTAATATACCGTCAGAAAATAATTAAGTGCTTTAACCATTATTTTAAAATAAAATTGCCGAAGCACAATTTTAGAACCAATGAGAAAAGGAGCACAAACTTTAGTGAGAATAATAAGTTCAAACTGCTCTAGTGAAGAAGATACAAAATAAATAAAATATAAAAATTTTTTATTATATCACGCTTTTATAAATAGACTAAAAAGAAGAAAAGAATATTTCTCAGTCCCATAGAATTTGTGTTGATAACTTTTGATTTTAAAATTTAAGCAAAAGTCATTATAAACAAGTTATTTTAGTGCCATTAATTTGTTAGGATCGTTATTTTGGATTACCCTAATGTATATACCTACAGTCTAAAAAGAGCATGTAATTCTACTACTGAAAACTATTTGTTTTTGAAACAAAACCTGTTTAAAGATGTTGAAGTTGGATTTTTAAACATAAGAAGATTAAAATATACACATGAATATGAGTCAGAATTTATGAAACGGGCCATTTGAATTATGTGATATTTAATTTCCAATCAGCAGTGGTATTTTTTCATAGATATTGGCAGTGCAAACAAATTTTAACCTTGATTTTAGAAAAAAATTGTTTTTTTCTTATATATCGACAAGTGTTTTTTTTCCTGTTCAATTTAACCATCATTTTCATTGTTATTAAAAATTCTTCAAGAATATAGGTCTTATTTATTTAAAAATAATTTTTAAGGGAAAATTGTTGCTAAAAATATAAAAATAATAGTCTTCTCCACCACTTTTTCACACAGAAAAAAAACCATATATGCAAAATTTTACTCTCTAAAATATTCTGTTGAGAAAAAAATGGATCGCAACGTGAAAAACCGCTACTTTTACTTGAACGCTGTCGCGCAATACAAAGAGCGAGTCCGGACTTATTTTGGCCAAGCGCATCTCCAACCAGCGTTCCCTCACCGGTTTTTTTGTTTTCATGTGACAGAGTTAATAATAAACTGAAGTAGATTTCAGTAAAAAATTATAGTTTTTCAATTCAGTTGTTGAAGAAATATCTATAATATTCAGAAAACAAAGCAACTCATTTGTTGTATTTAGAGATAAAATAAATACTTATACTCCACATAGAGTGACGTACACAAGTAATGGGGCAGAAAATTTTTCGCAATATATGCAAAGATTTTAATCCTAATTTTTTATAAAAACATAGTTCATTCTACACAAAAACACATAAAAATAAAATCTCTAAACTTTGTGAAAAACTCAGGAAAATTCAATAAACTGCCAAATTTTAACTTGAACTTTGTTATACTAAAATTGAGTGGGCTATAAAACTGCATTTTCAGAATTTTTCGAAAAATCTGAATAGAAAGTTGCAAATTAGTATACAAATGTATTATGTAAATGTAAATTAACATATTAACGACATATAAATTAGTATTTCATATCAATAATTGCATGAAAAACGATATTGCTTGCCCTCATTTGATTAAAAGCGAAAAATATTTCACATAATTTTATTTATGTATTTGCAACAGCTGACGAGCAACGCACACGAAAAGTTGAGAGTTGGCTATTTTACAACGCTTTTATCAACTTGCAATGTTGTGGCTCCAGAAACTTTCAATGTTGTGGATCCAGAAACTTTCAATGTTGTGTGTCCGACACCATAAAACCTTTGCTTTGCAAAGTTCCTATAAAAAAGTCTAGTGCATAGGGCGACATCTGTAGTGAATACGGCGAGGTAGATGACATCTAGATGTAGCCCTATGTACTACGTTCGCTACAGCGGAAATAGACGACACGCCATTTCTTTAAATAAAATTAATTGGTGCTCGTTTGTATGTACATACATATGTAAATGCATGTGTGTGCACCTTTCTATTAATATCGTTGAATTATTTTAATATCTAT